AAAAGTTTACTACTGCAGCTTTAAACACGAACTACTTAAGTATATGAGTTACACCCTTATAATGTGTTACCCCTAAATGTGATCCACCAAGGACATTTGATTTACAGACTACATTTTCAAACTGGGCTCTCTAATTGATGCAGTCTTCTTCCACCAAAAACAGCCAGCAGGAAGGAAGGAAGGCAAAACTAACAACAGCCGATGCCACTAACGGACTCTGGTGGTGTAACACAGGTTTCAGTGTGAGCTGGTCGTCGTGTTACCGGGCCATCTCTCTCTCTCTCTCTCTCTTCTCTCACACACACACACACATCACACTTGTAAGCAGAGTTTGGCGTGACGCTAGTGCATCTTGCAAACAAGAGCAGAAACACGGAACGAGGCTAAGCTAAAGTTAGCTCGGCGTCCTGTAAAGGTAACTTAGTGTAATGCTGATAGCTGACATTAGCGAGCCCAGTGTGGGTGGCCGGGCCGTTAGGTTTTCATCATCTTGCTATGCGACATCGCTCAGACAGCTGAACGTTAGTAACGTTACCTCCGTCAGCCGCTGCGTTCACTCAGCCTGATAACGAACCGAACTGCTAACTAGCCTAACACAACTGTATTAAACGTTTGAGAGCAGCACATTAACGGGTCGCTGGGGCGGCCATAGCCACCTCTACTCCTTAGGTTAAACACGTTTTATAACAGCCGTGTAAAGCACAAACACAGTCAAAGACACAACAACACTCACCGTCTTTATTGTGGCTTCCCCTTCTTCTGCTTCTTCTCTGAACTTTCACGGCAGTTGGCATCTTTAACGCGACATTACTGCCCCCTTCTGGACAGATATGAAGGACAAAAAGAGTTACATAAGCATAAATGAATAAATAAATAATTAAATGTAGAAATATAAATCAAAGAAAAATAGACACATTCTGATAATACAGAAATAGCCATTTACATTATCAAAACCATTATTTATTTTTCTTTTATTTATGTATTTTATTATTTACTATTTATGCTTATATCATGCATAGGTCATTTTTGTCCATCATAACTTTCTTCCCTCCACACAGTGTCTACACTACATGGCTACATTCACACTGCAG